TTACAAAAAGGGGCCATCTCGTTGATGGACCCTTCCGCTGTTCCGTTCTGTTTCTTTTCAAGATACTTTTTGATTGTCAAACATGGAGGCGGAATGCGCCCAATCCTTGATTTGAGGGCATTAAATAAACACATTAAGCCAAAGAGATTTCGGATGGTGACTCTTGCTTCCATAACCCCTCTCCTTTCCAGAGGGGCCTGGTTTGCGACCGTTGACCTTAGGGATGCGTATTTCCACATCTCTATTGCCCCACACCATCGTAGATTTCTCTCCTTTAGGGTGAATGGCCAGACATATTGTTTTAACGTTCTACCTTTTGGCCTTTCCGCTGCCCCGAGGGTCTTCACAAAGTGCATGGCGGTGGTGGCGGCTCATCTTAGGACGAGGGGCGTGACGGTTTACCCGTATATTGGCGACTGGCTGATAGTGGCCAGGTCGCGCTACCTACTTCAAACGCATGTCTCTATGGTTTTGTCTCTTCTCCAGTCGCTGGGCCTCGTACTCAACCGGGAGAAGTCGGTATTGGAGCCTTCGCAATGCATCCAATTCATCGGAGCTCTTCTGGATTCCGTCGAAGAGAGAGCGTTTCTGCTCGAGGACCGCTTCGCCAATCTGCGCGATGTGATCGACCTGACCATCACTGCACCCGACTTGCCAGCCAAACACTTCCAAGTGCTATTGGGTCACATGGCATCGACCACATCGGTCATCCGCTATTCCAGATTGCGTATGCGGCAACTCCAATCTTGGTTCCTCTCCAAGTTCAACCCGCTGGTGGACAACCCGGCCGTGAGACTTTCCCCCCCATCGTGGGTCCGTTCCTCACTCCGATGCTGGATGGATCCGGCTTGGGCTTGTGCGGGGCTGGCCTTTCACGTCCCTCGCGCCACAAGAACGGTCACCACAGATTCATCTTTGACGGGCTGGGGGGCCCACTCTCAAGGTCTAGTGGCTCACGGCATGTGGGGAGAAGAAAAAAGCACTCTTCACATAAACGCGCTAGAACTTCTAGCCGTCGACAGGGCACTGAAATCATTCGAGAGAGTGGTCACAGGTCAGGTAGTACACATCCTCACCGACAACACCACGGTGATGTACTACCTGAACAAACAGGGGGGTACACACTCTCACACCCTCCTTGCCCTTTGCACACAAATATGGGAATGGTGCATTCACAGGGGGATTCATCTTCTTGTAACCCACGTGCCGGGAGAGTTGAACCTGTTAGCAGACTCCCTGAGTCGGAACCCGTTAACACATCACGAATGGTCTCTGAACCAGGAAGAAGTCCAGAGGCTCTTCCGAGCATGGGGAACCCCACAACTGGACCTCTTCGCAACAAGGTTCAATTCGAAGTGCCCTCTCTTTTGCGCTCAGGCTCATGCGTCATCACAAGGGAGGTGCCTAGGAGACGCCTTCCTCCACACCTGGACGGGCTACAGGACTTATGCATTTCCTCCCTTCCCGCTCCTGTTGAGGGTCGTTGCGAAGATCCAAACGGACAACGCACATTGCATACTGGTGACCCCTTGGTGGCCGAGACAGCCATGGTTCGCGCCGTTGCGCCTCATGGCGAGGGGAGTGTTCACCCGCCTGCCGGACAGGACAGACCTCTTAACATCGCAGGGAGGCCAGGTGTTGTACCCAGAGGTACACAGACTGAGACTTACTGCCTGGCGGATCCTCCCCAAGTTGTAACCCCGTTTTCTGGTCTGTCTCACTCTGTGCTTCGAATTATTGAGGCGGCCCATAGGCCGTCCACTAAGCGCTCTTACCTTTATAAGTGGTCGAGGTTTTCGTCCTTTGCAAGGGGACGGGGAGCAAACCCTGACTCTGCTCCCATCTCTTTAGTGTTAGACTTTCTTGTGTCACTGTTGGACGCAGGGTTATCGTATCCGTCATTGAAATGCTACTTAGCAGCTATTTCGTGGTTCCGTAGAAAGTTCGGCCTTCCCTCTTGTTTTCTAGACCCTCTGGTAAAGACTTTTTTGAGAGGACTCATTAATACTAGACCCCCAGTAGCTCCTGTTGCGCCTTCCTGGAGCTTGGAGTTGGTGCTTAATTCTCTAATGAAGGCCCCATTTGAGCCCTTAGCATCGGCTAGTTTGTTCTGCCTGTCATGGAAGACGGCCTTTTTAATTGCTATTACATCGGCCAGGAGGGCTAGTGAATTGTGTGCCCTTAGGGCAGACCCACCATACCTAAGGTTTCACAAAGATAAAGCAGTGTTGAGGACCGATATAGCATTCCTCCCTAAGGTGGCGACGAAGTTTCATATTTCTCAAGACCTGATATTACCCTCCTTCTTCCAGAACCCCACCACTCCTTTGGAAAGAGGCCTACATTTACTAGACGTTCGCAGAGCTTTAGCTTTCTATGTGGACAGAACGGCCTCCTTTAGGAAAACTCCCAAGTTGTTCGTCAAATACCGCTCGGACGTCCTAGGTATGCCTGTCTCGTCTCAAAGACTGTCCTCCTGGATTGTGTCTACAATTGATTTGTGTTATCGGCTGGCGGGCAAGGATTTGCCCCGTCCGGTTAGAGGTAATTCTACAAGATCTGTGGCTACTTCTGCAGCCTTTTGGAAGGGAGTTCCTCTGGATGCCATTTGTCGGGCAGCAATATGGTCTACTCCACTCTCTTTTGTAACCAACTACAAATTGGATGTTGTATCCAGGTGTGACGCTCAATTTGGCAGATCGGTTTTGTTTTCGGCTGTGGCATGACGCCCACCGTCCACGGTTAGTAGCTCGCTAATCTACCAAATGTACGATTCACAGTGACTACGACAGGAAATTATAAGTTGCTTACCTGTAACTGTAGTTTCCTGAGTAGTCACCTGTGAATTCGTACATACCCGCCCATCCTCCCCTCGAGTTCATGCCACGCCTTCTGGCTGCTTTGCAGCGGAAGAGAACTGCTGGCTAGCCCCGCCCACAGGCTACTTATATTCGAGGGGAGGGTGGGCGGGTCTAGCCGGGGTCTAAATTGTTATTTTACTTTCTAGAAGGTTCCGAAAGCTGTACTGCGCAAGCGCATAAATACCAAATGTACGAATTCACAGGTGACTACTCAGGAAACTACAGTTACAGGTAAGCAACTTATAATTCTTCCCTAAGTTACTTTATTTTAGGCCCTGAGCCAAATTAAGGGTGAAGCTGTGCTTATTTCCAGTTATATTTATTTATTTATGACATTTATATCTCGCCCTTCTCACCTCAGAGCGGCTTACAAGTTATAGCTACATACAATATATTGTATTATTAGCATAGCACAATATTAATATTATATATTACTATATTGTATTAAACCACTATATTGTAGTATTATTAGTAATATTACATGTAATATAAAATATATAATTATTATATTGTATTATTATTAATATTATATTGTATTACATTATAATATTATTATCAGTATTATATGTGTATAAAATATATTATATTATTAGCACAGCACAATATTAGTATTATATATTACTATATTGTACTATACCACTATACTGTAATATTATTAGTAATATTACATGTAATATATTTATTTATTTATTTACCTTACTTATATACCGCTGTTCTCAGCCTGAAGGCTGAGAATTATAATAATTATATTGTATTATTATTAGTATTATATTATATCAATATTATCAATAATATATGTGTATACAATATATTAGATTATCAACACAACAAAATATTAGTATTATATATTACTATATTGTTGCTGGGGGAGGGGCTCACAACCGATGACCCAGGAGACATCAAGCACTCTACATTTTTCCCCCAAAACCCGTAGCACATGAAGTGTATTCATTCATACAGCTCCTTAGGACACTACACAATTATAGCACTATATTCTATTTAACTGCCAACATCCTATCAAATCCTTGAATTTCTGGTTAATTTTGTATTCTCAGCCAAAGAGCTCTTGAACTTCACTAAACACCAAACCCCAGTAGTATGATAAGGATCTTATTTGTGTTAAATGTGACCTTTAGAACTGCCAAGCAAGTTCTTGTTAACCTTTCAAATTTGTCAGTAAGATGTTTTGAAGGCCAAATATATTATTTTACAAAATATAAGTAGTAATGTAAGATGATACAATGGGTGCTAAGTGAAATCAATTATTTTGTACAAAATGTAGTTTGCGTTGTTTATATTATATTTGCCACACATATGATGCTGTCAATATGAAACACACTTGCTCACAGACATTTTGATGTTTAGGGAAGAGTGACTATTTTACATACAACCCAAAGGCGGGGGGGGGACACAGAATTCTTGATGGATGACTACAATATTATAGGGGGGAAAACCAACATTTTAGCCCAGGGGTCCTCAAACTTTTTAAACAGAGGGCCAGGTCACAGTCCCTCAAACTATTGGAGGGCTGGATTATAATTTGGAAAAAAAAATGAATGAATTCCTATGCACACTGCACATATCTTATTTGTAGTGCAAAAAACACTTTAAAACAATACAATAATTAAAATGAAGAATAATTTTAACAAATATAAACTTATTAGTATTTCAATGGGAAGTGTGGGCCTGCTTTTGGCTGATGAGACAGAATTGTTGTTGTTCTTGTTGTTGCTGCTGTGTGCTTTCAAGTTGTTTCAGACTTAGGTTGACCCTGAGCAAGGGCCGGGTAAATGACCTTGGAGGGACGTATCTGGCCCCCGGGCCTTAGCTTGAGGACCCCTGTTTTAGCCTATGGTTATTTTTATGGCGTTCTTTTGGGGGCAGTTTGAAATCTGACTGGAGAAATTTCTGAAATTGAAAATCACGTTTTATTTACTGGATCAAAAAAACAACTACCTCACTCAGATGCATTTTCCTTAATTTAAATGGATTGCTGGATGTCATGTCTGCATTCTCAAACTAGTAATTTATTGTTGTTGTTTTTTAATTTTCTTATTTTTATGAAAATTTTACTGCTGGCTTAAATATGTTTTGCTTGAATTACTTACCTTTTATTCATTCTTTTTATTTTTCCTGAAGGATCCAAGTAAATGACCAAATTGTAGAAGTTGATAGAATCAGTCTGGTTGGAGTTACACAAAATTTTGCTGCAACTGTTCTCCGAAATACCAAAGGAAAAGTCAGGTAATCCTGAGAAATTCTTACAGAGAATATTATACATTTGATACTGATGTGATATCATATGATAATAAGAATACATAATTGTTAGTGTGTGTATATAAATTGGTCATAAATTTTAAGCAGTTTGCTGTACATTATTCTGTTGATTATTACTTCAGATTCTCAAATGTACATACATATATATATGTGTATATAAGTCAACCTAAGTCGGGGCCTGGTTTGGGAATCAAAATTCTGGATTTTGATAGAACTTGTGAATTAGTCGATGGTCATTCCACAGAGAGGAAAAAAGTAATTTCTCGACTTAAAAATTAGTGTATGTACAGTAATATAAAGATAATTAGTTATTGACTTTTTTATTTTTATTAGTGATAGATATTTGTAAGCAGGTAGAGATTTTTTTAGTTGCAGACTTAAGTGTGCAAACCTAAAGATGCTGTGCTTTCGCTTGAAAATTAGCTTCAGGGAATGTGAAAACCAGTCTGGATATTTTGATTCTCATAACACTAGTTTTCATTTAGGTTCTCACTCCCTTATTTTTTATAAATGTTGATTTTGTTTGTGATATCCCGAGATGGGCGACTTTGTGAACTTCCTTCCCTTGTTGGGCCAGCTACTGCAGTTCTCTTGCACTGTTTTCATTATTTCACACCTTCTGTTCAAACGTCTGGGAAATTCTACAAATTAAGGGAAAGAGGATGTCTTTTATCTGCTTTTTAGACATTTATTAATTTTTTCGGAAGACATACGTTCTTTTGGTAATCATTTTTATGTCCCATAGCTGTGGTTCCAACATAATCTTAATTATATCAACCCTTGCATTTCAGATCGTGCAGTTTTCAGATATTTGCAGGATTTGAAATGCAAGGGTTGATATAATTAAAATAAAAAGCAGAGGAAAAATGAAAACAAAACACCAAGGATAATGTTGATGTATGTATGTGTGTCTTTATATGTATAGAATGATAGATGTAGGTATATTCACATATATAAATAAAATGATTTAGCTACTTCTTACATGCTCTGTATAGCTCTGGTCCCCTGGGATACTATATTACAGAAGACATCAATATGGAGAGAAGCAATTAAAATGATCAGGACAATAGAGCTGGCAGTTTTTCATTTAAATAAATAAATGATAACTTTGGGAGATAAGCATGAGATAGATTAAAATTGAAACTGATGAGGCGGTAGGGGGCAGGAAAGAAGAATGGAAGGACAAAATTAGTATATAATCCTTCATATGCAGGCAGCCGAATGCCGGATCTAGGGTCAGCAAATTAAATTTGGCAGGAGAACCAAGTTGAGCGCAAGGAAACACTTTCCTACAGAATTTGTAATTAATGTTGGATGATATTGGTATAATGATATGGTGAAGACCAACAGTTAAGGTACAGGTTGGGTGGCAGGGATAATGACAGCTTTGGTTTCAGATAATTCATTGTGAAATTTGTTTCATGCATAATATTATTAAAATATTGTAAAATTCGAATATAAAATACGGGCGTTTGCAGATGATTTATTAGGAACAATTGAAGATCCAGATAAAAACCTACAACATTGGATAACGAAAATAGAGCAATTTGGAAAAGTGGCTGGATTCAAAATGAATATGAAGAAGACAAAACTGTTATTTAAAAATGTGAAAAAGGAGAGACAAATAAAGATTCAACAACAATTGGGGATAGAGAGTGTGAAGAAAATTAAATACTTAGGAGTCTGGATTACCGCGAGAAACTGCCAACTTCTGAAGAATAACTACGAAATAGTTTGGAATAAAATTCAAAAGGACTTACAAAAATGGAACTACTTAAATCTATCACTCCTGGGTAGAATATCATTAATAAAGATGAATGTTCTTCCAAGACTTATATTCCTATTCCAAAATATACCGGTAATAAGAAATCAAACTTTGTTTAAAAAATGGAAGAAAGATCTACTTAAATTCATTTGGAAAGGGAAAAGGCCAAGAATTAATTACATAAACTTAATTGATAAAAAAACGAGAGGAGGTCTGGGATTCCCAGACTTGAAAACTTATCACGAGGCTTGTGCTCTATCATGGATAAGAGATTGGATGAATTTGAATAAGGAAAAGTGCTTAAACTTAGAGGGCCATGACCTGAGGGTAGGCTGGCACGCTTATGTGTGGTATAATAGAGAATCTAAGGAAAAAAAATTGGAAATCATTTCGTGCGAGCCTCCCTATTGAGGACATGGTTAAGATACAAAGCCCTCTTTTATAAAGTTACACCTCTTTGGGTCTCGGCGATGGAGGCCCATCAAAGAAGACTCTTAGGATGGAGGATTTGGCCAAGATACAAGGATATTCTGTTGAAAGGGGAAATGAAGATTAAATCGTTTGAACAACTTAAGAACATGTTCGGAAATATAACCTGGTTACACTACCTTCAAATTAAAGAGCACTTCAAACAAGATCAAAAAATTGGATTTGACTGGGAAGAAAACACATGGGATAAAGTTTTAAAAATTGAGAAAAAGGTAGTCACAATTCTTTACAACAAATTGATCCAATGGCAAACGGAAAAAGAGCAGGTTAAAAATTGTATGATTAAATGGGCCGAAAATCTAAGACGGCCCATTCAATTTAGAGAATGGGAACAAATGTGGAATAAAAAGTTGAAATATACTTATGCCATGGATTTGAAGGAAAATTGGTACAAAATGTTTTATAGATGGTATCTGACTCCGAATAAACTAAGCCATATGTACCCAAATGTCTCAGATAAGTGTTGGAAATGTGGAGAACAAACGGGCACATTCTTCCACATGTGGTGGACGTGCAAAGAAACAACTAAGTTCTGGGCATCTATACATGAAGAAATACAAAAGATACTGAAGAGAAGGTTTAGAAAGAAACCTGAATATTATTTATTAGGATTTACGGACTCTGACCTTAAAGTAGAGGAAAATGAAGATAAATTATTCACGTACTTTACCACTGCGGCAAGAATTATTTTTGCCAAATTTTGGAAAAATGAACAGATACCTACTGTTGAAGAATGGTTGGAGAAAGTCAAAGAAATTAGAGACATGGACGAATTGACATTTTTAATGAGAAGAAATACCGGGAAACCGCTAAAGAGAACAGACTGGACTTCTTTTTATGATTATGAAAAGAAATTTAGAAAAATATTAGAGGATAAGAATAGACAAGAGTAGAAGAAGTTGATGGAAAAGATCCTGATGTTGGAGTGGAAGTCATTTTAGAATAGTTTAGGTTAGTTTAGTCTCTTTTTTGTCGTTTTTTTTGTCCTTTTTTCTTTTTTCCTACTTTTCTATTTTCTTCTTATTGTTCCCCCTCTTTCGTTGTCCTGTTTTATAAAATATTTAATAAAAATCATTTAAAAAAAATATTGTAAAATTACCTTCAGGCTATGTGTATAAGGCGTATACAGGGGCAGCTCAACCCATTACGCAAAGTAAGCATTTGCAGTATAGTTGATTTTGCCCAGGGGTGCTCTTGGGGGAAAATAGACCTTGACATATGCGAGTTGTAGTTACTGGGATGTATAGTTCACCTACAATCAGAGAGCATTCTGAACTCCACCAATGATGGAATTGAACCAAATATGGCACACAGAACTCCCACGATGAACAGAAAATATATATCAGTGATTGGTTGGGGGGGGGCGCCAAAATAGTGTTTGCTTACCGTTGAAAATTACCTAGGGCCACCTCTGGGCGTATATGAATTTCATGTTTAGATTTGGGTCCCATCTTCAAGCTATCTCATTACGTACAAATATGCAAATACAGGTATTGCAAAAAAAAAAAATGAAATCCAAAACAATTCTGGTCCCAAGCGTTTTGCATTAGGTCTACCCCTTAGAAAGAACTAGAATGAGAATCATGGAGTATGTATCAGTGACTGCTCAAGTGACATCTCTTAAGTTCAACAGCATTTGGTTTCCAAATGTCAAGGTGAAACCATGACAATCTGTATTATTTTCTGCTTGTGTGCTTCCTGGGAAAACTTGGCTGCTTGCCTTTGTGACTAAGCATTGGGTCAAATGGATATTTACTCTGACCCAGTAAAGCACTGCTTGCAGATTTAAGCCATTTCATGGTGCACTGGTTCCTGTGGTGTCCTCCCTAGCTTTCAGATTGACCGACAGGGATATTTTAAACAACAGTATTACCTGCGTTATTTCATGGAACATTTTAGTCGCATCTGATTAGAGTTAATACTACCTAAAGGTTCAACAGTTCATGAATAACATGTCTGGCTGGCACTGTTTTCAACCTCTCTCAAATCCACCCCATTGCTCCTAGTTCTCTCACAGCTGGATAAATGACACGTTGGATGAAACATAAAGGAGAATTAAGGCCACGATATCTCCACAGGACTTCTTTATATGAAATGTAAAAGGGGATCTGTTTTGTCAGGGATAGGCAATTTCCCCCTCTCCACACTACAAAATTTACTGTTGACACATTTCACTTGTATATTGATAGAGAAAAATGTTGTCACATTACACTAACTGAAAGTTTTTTAGGGTCAGCTTAAGCAGAACATCTGGAATCTATCTTATCCATAACTGTTTTGGATAGTGAAGAAATGATGTTGGCTTTTAAAGACTGTGGTCGCTTTGATCCTATTCTAACTACCATGGCTCTGTGCAATGGGATCCTGGGATTTCTCATTTTGTGAAGTATTTTTCTGAGCTAATTTTTTGAGAAACCAGTATGGTGTACTGGTTTGAGTGTTGGACTTGGACTCCTGGAGGCCAGGTTTCAAAACTCTAGTCAGCCATGGGAACCCACTGGGTGAGATTGGGCAAGTCACACACTCTAAAAGGGAAGCAATAGCAACCTCTCTAAATAAATCATCACAGGAGATTACTATGAGAAAGTCAAATAAGTGGTACCTAATTTGAATTTATGTAACAACAACAATCACAACTACCACAACAGCAACAACACACTCAGAGTTCTCTACAAGAAACATGTAGAGCAGTGGTTCTCAAACTGTGGCTCCC